CACACATATATAAATCATCAAAGAAAGGTAAATACCTTGATTTATATATATATATATATAAAGGTAAATACCTTGATTTATATATATATATAAATATGTATGTATATATATGTATATGTATATATATATATATATATATATATAATGGTAATTATCATGTGCTGAATGAAACGAAATCTCGATTGAGAAGTGACGCTTTGTAAACGAAGTGCAAATAGTACAACGAAGTCTGCACTTTTTAAATGTTATTTTAGTTCGCTAACCCTTAACGGGCGTATCCTTTATTCGTGATTTTCTGGGCCTATTGTTAATAGACTAAGAGTAGACGGGAAATAAATGCTTTTAAGTAAGCAAGATTCTTTTGAATTTTCGAAATAACTTAAATAACGTAGTTTTTGAGAATGTTGACGATTGAAACAACTTAATAGAGACATTTTCAACTAACAACCATTCTTTTCAGAACTATCTCTGTACCGCAAGCATTTATATACTTTGCCATGAAAACTTTCAAACAGCAGAAAAAAAGATATAATGCCGTTACTTAATATTCCAGATTTGCTAAACAACCTGTAAAGCTACTGCATGTGCGATCATTGGGTCTCCTTGCAGAATGACAGAAAGACACGTTACTAGTCTGTATTAACGGTATTTTGTAGCAAATCGTCCTTCAAACGGATATTTAAGCCGTTGGCTCTATATGCACATTACGTCATTTAAAATCAAATAAAAAAAGATGTTCAAAGTCGGTTTAACATTTAAACCTCATCTTGTCCGTTAGGATCTAATATTACTGAGAGCATCACATAATTAGAAAGTAATTTGTCTGCTACATTAAACTATGCCATGGCGGTATGCCTATATTGTATCTGAACCCAGAATCTGATGGGTATGTCCAATGTCATCAGTGTTTGAATGCTTATTTGTCTTTTCGAGTGGCTTGTATTGATTTTTTTGCTGCAACAATGAAAGCCAGACACGTTCACGGACTGTGCTAATATTTACAGTTCACATAGTAAATACAGCCCGGTTTGAAATGGGTCCGAGAGAAACGGACGCCTAAAACTAAACTTGTAAATATGTCTACAGGCAAGTTCATGTGGTTACCATCGTGTGAGTAGGAATACAGTTTCTTTAGCATATTAATTGATTTTTTTTTTTATTTTAGTTATTATAGTAGTTATTTGGATCTAGCATGTTACCTACTCCACCCGCTGTGATTTACATCAACACAGTTTTCGGTAGTGGATGTAGTTAAGCTTATGAGCTGCTTTGTGTCAATGTTGATAACATTTATAATCTCTGAATTTGACATACCGTACGCTAGGTTTTAATTTATTGTCGTTCTGAATTGAATTTAGCTAGGTCTTGTTTACACAACAAAGAACATACAATTCTATTTTTCAGTGGGTGGTTTTAAAAACTCTTCGCACTGAAGTTTACAAATTCATGAACTGCAATTTCTATTTGTATAAAGCCCTGTCCAGACTATCAAATTTTATTTGACAAAACATGTGACATGCCTATATATGGTCATGATGACATCACATCATGACCATATATAGGCACATCATGACTATATATGGGCATACAACAGTTTTTTTGTCAAAGAAAATGTTATAGTGTGGACAGAGCTTTAGGATGGACTCAATATGCTCTCATTGAATTTTAATGACTAATTTTGAATCACGTTTGCGTTACACATACAAAAAAAAATATTGTTGTTATCAATATTGTATTCCTTTATCGATTGTCGTATACCAATGACGCTACTGTGACTATACTGAGACTCACACAATGTTGACTGTACTTGTTTCAACTTAGGATCATCAGCTAATTCCTATCATATACGACTACTGCAGCTGACTTTAACATTCCTCGAATCTGGCATTTCTTGCTTTGAATAATGACAAAAATTATAATTAAGAACACTCCTCTTTAAATTGGACCATCATCTCTCAACTCGTTTCCTCTCAATCATCGCTTTTGTCCCACGTCCTTATCCAGAAACTTTCTCCCTTATGCTTGAACTTTACACTCTCTAATTTCTTACTTTTTCTATTCAAATTATCTTATGTACGACTCAACATTGATCCATCCATCCGTTTTACTATTATAACTATCAACCAGCCCTCGGCTTTTAATAAATTATGCACAGCCTAACACTCTTCTGTAATTTAGGCCTATCGATAACGGTCGACATTGTTTTTTCATGTTGGTGTAAGTAGCAACGAGATAATAGGATTTCGAATTTTAATTTTAATGTATATAGAATATATATATATATGTATGTATATGTATATATATATATGTATGTAGGATATATATATATATATATATATATATATATATATATATGTAGGCTATATATATATATATATATATATATATATATATATATGATCCATGATAAAGGATTTTGATGATAATATGATTCAGATTTAAAATTCTATTAGTATATTCATATACATCTGCTCCATGTGTTGGGTAAACATTGGTAAGAACCTTTATCTTATACTATAAAGGATTCACACTAAATCAACCGTCTAAGATAATACATACTCCAAGTATCGAAATGGACGCCATCGTGTCGGGATTTAATATTTCGAAATTAATTATGTCATCATCAGAAAAAATTATCCATACTTGCAAGCTTACATGCACAAGTACCAATAGTGTTTGCCCAATCAAAACGTTACTACAAATGTAGGTGACATAGCTATGAATAAACTAAAGATCAAAGCATTCTTACCCTACTGATCAATGCTATCTACAAAAACAAAGAAAGTTCCTTGAAGCTTTCAGCCCATTGTTAATGGGTGTAGCCTACGTATAGCAAACGCTTCTTTAAACAATAGTATAGACCAGGGAAAATTTAAATTACCTGGTATAGACCGAACTGCCAATAATGTTAGTATTAGAAAATATTAAACCTAATACTTACATTACAGGCTACATTATCATTTTCAACCTTGTAAACCTAAAACATATCGGAATGCCTCACAATTTTGTTTATGATCATTTATAACACTATCAGATCGTGAAGAATGTTCTTTAAGTTTAGTTATTAAGCATTAACAGTACTGTTCCCTGGTCTTACCAATATAATCACTATTACAACCTGGACATTTAAAATGATAAACAACAGATCTCCCATATTCCTTAGGGGTTTGATCTTTAGTATATATAAAATGAGAGACATTTTTTTACTGCCATAATGTTATGAATTTAACCTCTTTGTTCACTGTTCCCTGCTTTAACTGAAATATTTCTTTACTTTGTTTAAGCATCTACGTAAAATGGATTCACCTGCCTTTCCTAGATAAAGCAATCTAACCCAGATCTTAATCAAGCTATCATCAGTAGGCCTATGCTTTAAGTTCATTTTATTTATTGAGTACATGGTTAAAAACTTTTAATAAGTAATGGGTACTTATTCCATGACATAAATTTTCTAATGTTACAAAGTTCTGCTTGAAGTTTATCGGGAGTACACAGTTTGTGGGCTTTTGAAACTAAACTACGAATCCAAGAAATCTTCCATGGGGCAAAGCTATCATAATGGATATATTGACCTGTATGTGTATTTTTACGATATATACCCATGCTTCCTACGCCGTCTTATGTTAAACCGTCTTATAAGACTATACCTTGTTTAAAGGGAACAAATCCGATTAGACCGCTACATTAGATCATAATATAAAAATGTTTAATATTGATCTTCTCCAGTAAGCAGTTGCCGAGTTTGCTCTTTTTAGGCTTATAAACTGATAATCCGTAAGAATGAACACTTTATTTTGTTTTGTTTTCCTCTTCTTTCTCAAGTGTTCAGAGTTATAGAGGATTATATACATGCCGTATATGAACTTCATGAATTTGTGGTATACAGTATTATATCGTACAAGACTGTATGAATGGTTCTTTCAAGATACATGATGATAAAAGGTTTTTAAAACGGTACCTCGGTTGTTAACTCCTTGGATTTTGTTGGCGCCGTCTTCCAACTGAATTACCCAACTTCTTTTCGTGTGATACTGATAGTCTCATCTGGGGACCTAGCATTTGATTGTGTCTCATAGTTCAATTTTAATCCATGGCAAACATTATCATGTTTTTCTTTTGTGTTCTACGTGATCATTCGTCTTTCAAATTTTGTTTAAAAATAAATAAACGCCACATACACCATTCTATTTACAAACTGTAAGTAGGCCCCTACTGAAAATGTATGCAATCGTGGTGTTTTTAATGGTTCCTGCTTTTCCATTGTTATTAGTACTATAAAAGATTGGTTTAAGTTTGTTTTTACAATGTTATGCCCATCTATACCTAGGGCCTATGACAATAAGCTGTCACTTTTAATCTGTGCAAATCGATAATGGTTTTGTTTTTCTATTTAAAGTTCGGAAATATTAGATCTTGGTTTAACGACACTATTTGCCGTAACAAAATGACGAACACTTTATGTACATTGATGTATACCGTTATCCTTAACCTACATGTTAATATTTGCATATATGTCTGCTACTATTTTTCTCGTTGTACAGTGATCATATTATATATAACCTAATATTCTCTCGTTTGAGCCGCCGCTCCCCCTAAATTTTCCAAAAACGTAAAAAAAAAATAAAAAAAAAGTTATATTAAAATCTTAAGTCTTGCTATGCTCTATGAAACAGACATGTTTCGGTAGTGTATCCGCCATCATCAGTGTGGAGATTGCACGCAGGCAATCTTATTTAAGACCGTAGTGACATGTAATACTTACATGACGTGAGTCCTCGTCCAACCATCGAACGATGGCGTTAACAGTTCATCAATAAAAAGGACAAGAACAAATAAGATAATAAACTGAATCAAAATGACAAAGTTAAATTAACATTTTTAATGTTGTTTGTTTAGAGTGATATATTATTATTATACTGTACGTGTAATGTCTCTATGATTTTTAGGTTGGTATTTGGATGAGGCAGAGTCAAATATTTTGAAGCAGTCCTCATTACTATTAAGTGTTTATATAGATATGGGAGTTTCTCCCAACACTGCCCAGTGCTCGTGCACGCGTTTTGAAATGTTGACTAGGTCCCCTAACATAATATAACAGGCGTTATAGCATGTACATATATATTTATATACAACGCGCCCATATTATAATTTAAACTTTAATAAGTAATGTTCGCAATATTTATGGAGAAACAAATTTTTGTGTATAAATAATAACTCTGTATACTACCGGAATTGGATAAGCTCAGGAATATTAAAGGTTAAAGACATCATAAAAAAAAAACAATTTTCTCCCATCTCTTGAGCTTAGAAATAAACTCAATGTCAAACATAACTGGATGTCAGAAGATTCATGTTTCCTAAAAGCCATTCCTAAAGAGTGGAAGAGTGTATTAACAAACAATGTAGTAAGTAATAAGGATATGCCCAAGCATACAAGTATTAGAAACCCTATTCTAAAAATGACAACAAATCAAATTTATTGTTTGTTACTAAAGAGTACTGCGAAGCCTCCTGTTCAACCCAATGGAAATGGGAAATTTTGCTGGAGACTGAAAACAGAGATTGGATACAAACCTGGCGCATTAAACTCAAATATCATAAGGATAATGTAATTAGGCAATTGAATTTTAAGTTACTGCACATGATTGTACCTACAAGAAAATAATTTAAACTTTAAATTTGTTAAAAAATAAACAAAATGTTTAGAAGAGCGAGTTTTCTATTCTCGGGCATCTGGGTTATTCATGCGATCGTCAAGAAAATCTTTAAAAAATTGCTTTCCCGTGCCGGGAATCAAACCCGGGCCGCGTGGGTGAAAACCACGAATCCTAACCACTAGACCACACGGGAGTCTCTTATGATGTGTTTGTCCGTTTTGTCGCTTTAGATTTAAAACGTCAACTGAGGAAAACGGCGAGAACACTGTCATCACTTTTGGGGAAATGCTGTTTTTATTTATTTTTTTTCTCCAATCAACATATATTTTTATTTCAAACGGTCGTTTTTCCATATTTTTTTCACATGAAAAGCTCAGGATTTCTTGCAAATATGTTTACTGGTACAACAAAAACAAATTTTTAAATATAAATTTGATACCATTCTTATGACTAAGACTTTTATATGTGTCCCTAACCATTGATTAACTGGTGAACATCGGTAAAATGGGGGCGGGGTTAACAAACAAACAAACAAACAAAAAACCTCCCTCCCTCATCAGTTTTTATTCTGTGATAGGGTGATAAACTAATAATTTTTTTTATGGGGCCTTAATTTCAATAATCAAATCACATATAATTTTGGAAATTGATGTAATTATAACACTTTAAATTTATTAAAAATGAAAACAATTTTTCAATTTCAATTTATTCAAGCTTGACTCCAAAGACCTGGATTATGGCCCCAGCACGCTTCCGATGCGCCACTCTGCTTCTAATACTGATCACATTTAATTGTAAAAATATTATAATTTTAATTTTAAATTTGTTTTAAAAAAATAAAATAAAATTATTAGCAGAGCGAAGTTTCGATCCTCGGACCGATTAAGCAAACGGCGATTATCAAATCGAGTGACAACACCATACTATGACAACACCATAGTGACATATTTTGCTTTAATTGTAAATTGTAGCATTTGGTTTAATTAATGGGCCTATCTGAATTCAATGTCAATCGTTTAATGTATACGTTAACATAACTTCATATTATTTTAATCGTGTAACAAGCTACTTTTTCTACCAAATATATACATAGGTCTTTAATCACGAGCTATAGAAAATTTTAAATTAATATTTTAGGTAGATCTACAGATCTGTATTAATAGTTTTCATCTTTCTTCGCAGATTCTCTAAGGATGACAGCAGCATGGGTCCAGAGCAATAGTAAGTACGACAGATTGTGTTTGACTGTTTGATTCTTGTTTCGTATGTTGTTTTAACATTCTGGAGGATATGGTGCCGATAAGTTTGTTCACCATGATTTCAATCACATGCTTTCTATATGGAAAACTATTATATCAAATATTAGCAAACATAACACATAATTTCCTTTTATGTGTGCATTGGCTATGTCATCTTTTTACTTTTTTCTTGTACGTTATTTAGCGTTATCTCGAGACAATTTTTCTTCAAAACTTTTAGAAATAATCCGAATGAAATTCAAACTCATTTGTCAAATTTTTTCATTATTACATGGAACTATATTGTTTTGCTATTATTGATTGATTTGGTTATCCATTTTATTTTGAACTAGGCCTATATTTTTACGATTGATTATTGAGTACTTTATATTGTTATACTGAATTGGTTAATGATTGATGTGTTATATTGTTATTACTGATTCATTGATTTGATTTGATTTGACTGAATAAATGTTGTTGAAATACTGTATGTGGTGGATGGAGGAGAGAAGAGAGATTGTAAAGGAAAACTGGTAATTTTACATTTTAAAGGGACCTTTATTGTATTTCACAAGTGTTTTTTTGAAATGCATTTTTGCTTATTATATCTCTTTATTTCAGATACTTATAATCCGGACAAGGGATCTGACCCTTTTACACTGACCATTCACTTCATAACTGACCCTGGCGGAAGTAATGACTTCAAGAATCTAACTGCTCCTTTAGTGAAGTGGTGTGATCCATCATTCCAACTGTTTAACATCGCTGAGCGCAGTAGGGCGAATGGATTCGTCCACGTGATCGACGGACACGACACAATACCATCACTTTGTGTTCTACTCTTCCTTGAGGAAGAACTAGACTCAGGAGTTATATCTGAAATGCAAGAATATTTCACGAGGGCACCATGGCAACCGCATCACACAGACAACATGTTGCGAAAACTTTCCACTTGCCACCCAAATGAACAGCACTTTTATGGCACAGCTCACGACATGCCTTTATGGGCTGTCCGTCAAGTGCATTGTGGGAAACGATTTCTCAGATTTATGATCTATTCAACCACGAACAAATTCCAAGATATGGTGCGATTTTACTCCATAATTCTCGACAGGGTTCCTACATTTCAACGCGATGATAATTTCTGTATTTTTACAGTCCATTCAAAAAGCAAGTGTGACATTCAGTTTGCATTAAAAAAAACACCGGGGAACTTTTCCCCTCGATCACTTAACTCAGCCTTTCTACAGTTCAAAGTTGAAAACATTGAAGGACTTGTTCAAAGCTTGCCAAATATATGTTCACCAATTAGTTCTCAGCGTTGGCAGACAACAGATCCCGATGGAAACGTCACTCTCTTACTTATCAAACAGAATGCTTCTAAGCCTGTACTAACTCCTCGCCGAGGTTCGATTGACGTATTGCAGTCGCTTCTAACACCGAAAGGATTCCGACAAAAGAAGTATAGGCCTACGGCGGGAAAAAGGTCTCTTAACACCGTTTACGATAGCGAAACGTAAATAACATTTCGTAATGGTTTTGGCATTTTTAAACTATATAGGCCTGAACCTACGGAAGCACCTAAGTGCCATTCGACATGACGACTTGTCAAGATAATTATGTTGTCAAGTCGACATAATATACATATCATGTCGACATGGCGAGATAGATTATCTTGACAAGTCGACATACTAAAAATGTTTTGTTGTCATGACGAGATAGGTCATCTTGACAAGTCGACATAATAAAAGTTGTATGTTGTCATGGTGAGATAAATTAACTTGACAAGCGGACATAATAAAAATTGTATGTTGTCATGGCGAGATAGGTTATCTTGACAAGTTGACATAATAAAAGTTGTATGTTGTCATGGCGAGATATATTATCTTGACAAGTTGACAGAGTAAAAATTGTATGTTGTCATGGCAAGATAGGTTATCTTGACAAGTCGACATAATAAAAGTTGTATGTTGTCATGGCGAGATAGATTATCTTGACAAGTTGACAGAGTAAAAATTGTATGTTGTCATGGCGA